CGAGGAGGAAAAGGTGGCGGCTATGGTGGTGGTGCAGGCGGAGGGGGTGGCATTGGAGGTGGAGGAGGTGTAGGTGGAGGTGCTGGAGGCGGGAAAGGTGGTGGCTATGGTGGAGGTGCAGGGGGAGGTGGTGGCATTGGAGGAGGAGGAGGTGTAGGTGGAGGTGCCGGTGGTGGCGGAGGACATGGAGGAGGAGAGGGAGGTGGTTCAGGATTTGGCGGTGGTGTTGGCGGAGGGGGTGGTCATGGTCATGATCATGGATTTTAAGCAGCAGCAACCGAAACTACGCATAGAAGACGTAGTAGTAGAGATGGACGTGGAAGGGTACACGTGATGGGTATCAAAATGCCGTCATAAACTTCCTTATGTAATAAATAAAATCTTCATGAAATAATTAATGCTCTCTTTTTCTCCTTCTTTTTGAAATGCCCCCCTTTTTTTTTCCTTTTTTTCCCAAACGAAAAAAATAATAAGCTTCCAAGCACGAACCAACTAGCGCAGATGCAACTCTCATATCCCTGGATTTTCTTCCATTGTTAGTGGCTTAATTATGTTTTAAGTATAAACAGTACTTAATCAACCACAAAAAATCATAAATCATGATTATATTTGAGGAGACTTGAATTAATCCGCTTTAAAACTGACACCTTATGTACACCTCTATATATGTGTGTGCGTGTGTCTATATATATATATGTATGTATATATATATATATATATATATAGAGAGAGAGAGAGAGAGAGAGAGAGAGAGAGAGAGCTGGCCGCCCTGACCCTCAGGTGAAATCACTTTCACCATATTATGCTATGCAATCTCATGTTATATCATTTGATTTTGTATAACTTTTTTTTTTAATAAATCTTATCACTAATTCTTAAATTTAAATTAAATGTCACGTTAATTCTTTAAATTGAAAATATAATATTTATACAACTTAATATATATGTTCTAGTATAACCATTCGGGGTAAATTTTGACTATTTTCTAATTACTTATTAAGGACAAATTTGTCATTAAAAAAGTAAAATTTACAATTTTTAAAAAATGCAAACAACTTCATAATTTTATAATTTAACAAAAATAATTTATAATTAAAAAATTATATTATCAAATACTTGAGCGATTATCAGTCACTTATCGTTGTTATGTTGGAAAAAAATAATTTATTTTATAAGTCTAAAAATATAATTAATTTCTATTTTATAAGAATCAAACCTATACAAAAACTCCAAAATTATTACTTACAAAAAAGTTCTTTAAAAAAAATTGATATGTTTTCCATAAACCAAATTTATCTCCAAAGTCTACTGCATTGAAAAATTGTAAAATTTACCTATTTTTTAATGACAATTTTACCCTTACTAAGTGACTAAAATATAGCTAAAAATTAGTTAAAAGGATTACGCTCAAACATATATTACACTGAAAGGACATAAACATTATATTTTTAATTTAAAGAACTAATATAACACTTAATTTAAACTTAAGGGATCAATAATGAAATCTATCCACTTTTTTTGTACAAATATTGTATACTTTAATTTCATTTTCTTTTCTTTTAATCCTTCTATTATTTGATTTTATAACAACCATCATCATTGACATCATAATTGTTTATAAAATAACTCATTCTTTTTTATTTTTTAATATTTAATATGTTTTTGGGTAAATCTTATTATTTGTTCTTAAATTTAAATTAAGTGTCATTTTACTCCTTCAAGTTGACAATGTAACATTTATATCTTTTAACTTTAATATATATTTTCGTATAATTTTTTTAGCTAATATTTAACCATTTTTAATCTCTTAGTATAAACAAATTTATCATTAAAAAAGATTAGACAAAATCCATAAATTTTCAAATATGCAAAGAATTTCATAATTTTATAAATTAATAAAGATAATTTATAATTAGTAGAAGCTATGTTATTTAGTATTTAATGTTATCAATTGTTTACCGTTGTTATTAGTATTTAGATTGAAAGAAAGGAGAATTTATTTTATTAATCTAAAAATATAATTAATTGATAATTTTTTCTGAATCGAACTTTAAATTAACTATATAAAACTTCAAAATTATTATTTACTTCCAAAGTTTATTGTTTTTTTAAGAAAATTATGTATATTTTTAATAACAAATTTATCCTTATTAAATGAGTGAAAAATAGCTAAAAATCAATTAAAAAATTATGCTAAAATATATATTAAATTTAAAGGTGTAAATATTGTATTTTTAACTTGAGTGGTTTAGATACACTTAATTTAAATTTAAAGTACTAATTTACCCAAACTATTTTTATCCACTTTCTTTTTCCCATCCCCTTTTTTTTTAAAAATTTTTTAGGTAACTCCTTCAAAGGAGGACAAGGACTTCTACTCCCGGCCCCAACCCCCCGGGGAGCCCGACGGACGATTAACGGTTTTGGAAAAGCAGAAGCCCGTCGCTCCGGGCCATTTATTGGGCCTGAAATGGCTGTGGAAGGCCTGAGTGGGCCAGCCTTTCACTAACACAGGCCCAGTCCAGGAGCATAGTCCATTCTGGTAATTATTCCCTCATGGGCTGTTTGAAAATACTTTTACCTTTAGTTTCTCAGTTTTTTTGATGATTTAAAATACTTTCTTAGTTTTGGGCATTTGCCCCTTCGGTAACACAAAAAAAAAAAAAAACCTTCTTAGTATTTGTAAACTTATTTGTACTTTTTATTTTTCTAAATTTGAGTAGATAAAAGTAAAAATTTTGAAACCCAAGAAATAAATATTTTTAATTTTAATGATATAAATATAAATAAAAAGAAGTTATTATAAAATAATTTTAGACACTTTTATCTTCACATAATTTTTGTTATTCTTAAATTATCTTTGTTTTTTCTCCTTCGCCCCTTTGTTTACTTCTACTACCAAAGCCCCTTGACCAACATCCACTACTTCCAGAGTCCTACAAATGATTTTTTTGACAATTAATTGTCAGCACTCGATTGATATTTCCAGCGAGCCTATGCTCGTATCTCCCCTCTCTATTTACTACTACACCCACTGTGAGAGACGAACCTCTGCTCGTATTTTCAATGGGCATTGACGGGTGCTGCTTCCTCTGTTTACCCAAATTTATAAAACCCCAAGTTAAAATCTCAACCTTCGTTGACCCAAATCAAACAGCATCCCTTGGATTCAAACCTACAATCGTCGCCCATTTACAGTGGGGAAGAGGGTGATTGTCGCCTATCGTCCCAAGAGAAGAGGGCGACTACATTGCTCATCTGCAATGGGGAAGAGGGCGACTATGGGCGATCGAGACACGGTAAGAAGGCGAGTATGAGCTGTCATTACCTATCTATGATGGGGAAGAGGGCAACTACGAGGTCCTCTCAACAAACCAAAATCCCGTCACTACTCGTCTACTATGACGAAGAGGGTGATTGTAGGCCATCATTGCGGGGAGGAAGGCAACTACGGGCCACTGTTGGAGGGGGCAACTGACATCAGCATCGGCATCGGTGTCTTTTGTAGTGGTCAGACAAGTGTGTACACAAGGATGAAGGAAAAAATAAGTGAAAAAAGAGAGAAAAATGGAAAGAGAAAAAACGAAATTGGGCATTTTTGTTTTTTAAACAGAAATTTTTCCATAAGTAAATTATCCCTGTTATCTTTTAAATACCTATTTCATTATTTTCTAAATTTTTTTATATATAATTATAAAATACTTCACACTTTTACTTATAATCAACTTTTATTTACTTCTACTTAAAATTCTAATTTTTAATTTCATAAAACTATTCATCAACAACTCCTCAATTCTAATTCTCTTGTCAGGACAACTGAAATAGAGTGTCTTGTCCAACACCCACAAGCCTCGGTAAACCGGATGAAGTTTTATATATTGTCAAAAAAAGGGAATTAAAAATGCAAATGATGCATATATTTTAAAAAGGTGTAAACTCAAGTATCTTGAAGCCCATAATCTATCTTGAGATCTTGTTTGTTAAATAATAAAAAAATAAGAACTTAGAAGTTTTTAGCTTCTGTACTTCTTCATTTTTGCTTTTACTTTTGTAGGTCTACTAATCAAATTTAAAAGTAAAAGAACAGATTAACAAACACCCCCTAACAGGTTGAAAAGATTTGAGGCCAGGATTTATAAAATAATCTTTATAACTTTTTGAGAGCAATTAGATTAAGCAAATCAAGATATAACTTAAATGTTTATTTAAATATTTACAAAGCTTAATAAAGTGTCTGGTTGATCGAAATTTTTAGAATGTATAACTTTTTCTTGATATGAAAAATTAATCTCAGATTTTTGTTATGTTATGTTTGTTTTAAAAGAATAGTTATTTTTTTTTTTAGTTATCTTAAAATTTATCTGTAAATATAAAAAATTTTATATTTAAATATTTATAATTTAATTGTTATATTTTAAATTATTATTATTTATTATTTATGTTATATAAGTTATATTTATATTTTATAAAATTATATATATTGATTTTTATAGTATGTGTGTTAAGTAAAATTTTTATTTTTATGTTTTTCTTTTACAAAGTCTAAATATTTTTTTTAGTAAAAATTCATTTTTGATAACTTTGGTTGGACACTGTTTCTGATTTTGAGTAAAAGGTTTTTTAAGGGTTCAATTGTAAGTTTTGTTAAGTTTAGGGGTTTATTTTCCTCTAACAGCCAAGTTTAGGGGCTTCCGATGTCTTTACACCGTCAACAAATTCAAGCGTGGAAACTAAATTTCAGCGGTCGCTCTCGCTGACGTGACTCGATCAATACAATCGAACCGGGCCTCCGGTTTTCAGCTGACGCATATTGAATATTTGTTTGCGGGCTGAATCATCGTCTTCTTCTGGTTGGTTAGTTTCCCGCCATCGGTTTGAGCTGGCCCCTGTATCCTTCTGTAGTCTGTAGACGTCCTAGTAAACATCCTGTGCTGAGAACTTCGTGTTGTCGACTGATTAGGAATAAGTTCAACAATCCGAGATTTGCTTCCGGAGTAAAGATGAACGACGCTGATGTGTCGAAGCAGATGCAGCAGATGGTCAGATTCATTCGGCTGGAGGCCCAAGAGAAAGCTAACGAGATCTCTATCTCCGCCGAAGAGGTAAATTTCTTAATAATAGCTCGTTTCTTTAGTTTATTGTAAGTAGTTTCTGGACAAGTTCACTACAACCACCGGTCTCTGGATATTTCCCTCCGAGAATCATAGTTATCGATGCCAGCAAATGCTTTAACATGCCTTACTTGAGTGTATTTCGTATCATAATCCGTGAAGAGATGTCCCTGTTGATCAATTGCATGAACAAACTCGTACATGCTTGCATTACATAGTGTCTTATCATGTGAATTCACGACGCCATCGCACGTAGACTGCGAGCCTCTCTTAGACTTGCCATGGCCATTGCCTGTGTAACACACACGGATGATCAATAGCCGATTTTAACATCATATCATTTTACGTAAGCCAGATGGATTGCTCGTTTCTCCTTTCTGTTTCATTTTTTGTCAAATGTTTTTTTATGTATGTACGTGTGTGTGTGTCTATATATATATATATATATATAGAGAGAGAGAGAGAGAGAGAGAGAGAGAGAGAAGAAAAAATCCTCTGTGGGGACAAGGTTTACAGTAATTCAAATTTCTAGCGCTGCCCAAAAACAACGCGTGGTGGGTGATGTTCTCATACTTCATGGAAGGGGTTTTGGTGAGGCGTGGAGTATACTGCGGTATCGGCATATCGTGATATATTCTTCCAATAAGGGAGTTCATAAGTTTTTATTTGGTCACTCATGACACACAGGTACAGCAGATATGGCAATTTTGAAATACGAATAAAACCCAACCTGACCCTGCAATATTTATCAAACACGAAATGACATGATTTATCGCATTTTTGTTATAAATTAACTGCTAATAATTCTGGTAAGTGCATGACATATTTTAGTGAAGACAAGAGTTTAACGCATGGTAAGACACAAATAAGGGTCGCTTCTGCAAGGAACAATTGAGAAAAAATTGATTACATGTCGGTTTCATTTGATATGAGGTTTTTGTTCCTGAATCAGTTGAATTAACTTAAAGATATATTTAGCCTGTTTCCTTTGCTTTATATTTATAGGAGTTCAACATTGCAAAATTGCAAATAGTCGAAGCTGAAAAGAGAAAGGTCATGCAAGAATATGATCGGAAAGCAAAACAGGTTGACATTCGTAAAAAAATGTGAGTTCTATACTTCTGTGAGTTCAATACTTCGGAGCATGAGTTTGGAGTTGAGGTCAAATATGACCAGATTGCTGGGAAACATACAAAATACAAATCAGAGTTCAGACATTTGTGGAACATTTTTCTAATTTGCCTTTGTTGAAACCTAAATTGTAGATGAGTATGTGCTTGTACTGGACAAAATTTTTGTAGTTTGGTTTTGTAGTGGGTAGTTTTTTTGTATGTAAAGGTGCTTTGCTTGGGAGTGGTTGATGCTGATCTGCCTGGGCTTGGGTTCAATCTTTGATGCAATTCATAATCCCTAGAAGGGGTTTGTGATTGATTCATTCACATTCTATTTGAGACAGCTGGAGCTTCGGATCCACGTGTTCATAAATGTTTAATTAAAGTTTACTGGCACAAAATGCCTTTTACTCTTTGTTGTTGGTCCATAAAAGCAAACTAATAAAGCTGCTCCAAGATCCTACATGAAAAAAACTAGGAAAAGCAGCATCCATGGTTTTCCAATTTGGAAATTCTGACCTCTCTGGTCTAAAGAAATGCATGATGGCACTGTATCTTTTTACTACACGTTTGTATTGAAATTTAGCGGTTCATGATATTGGAGACTGACAAAGCTTCAACAGTGAATTTTCAATGCAGCTGAATGCATCCCGTATCAAAGTTCTTCAAGCACAAGATGATGTGGTGAATGCCATGAAAGATTCTGCCAGCGAGGAGCTTTTGAGTGTTGCAGATGACAAGAATGCATATAAAAAGCTTCTCAAGGGCTTAATTGTGCAGGTTCTGTCTGTTGATCAATTTAGTTCTCAATCAAATTTGGATTTAAATAATTAAGTATTGAATTCTAAACTCATAACACTTTATCTATCAAAAGTAGATTTATCGTCTGTTTTGTTCATTATAATGGCAACAGTCTGTTGATATTATCTTCCAAAGTCTATTGTTAACAATCCTTCGATTCAGGGCTTATAGATTATCTTCTGGCTCAAAACTTCCTATATGCACGGATATTTGCGGCCATGTTAGGTCCTGGCACTTAAGCAGTAATTCATGAGACCTAAATGAATCTCAATTTCAGAAAGCATCACATTTATCACCTTCCAAGTTGGCAGCATTAGATGGAATAGCCTTAGATAGCTCAAGCTGGGGCCTTTTCCTCTAAATCTTTAATTTAACCCATAGTTCGTAATTCATTTGCATTCTTTTCAAAAAATATGATCTCATGAAGACATTTTTACTTGCTTCCTTTATATTTTGTGGTGTTAACCAGTGTGTTCATTAACTGATTGTGTACTGTGACACAAGTCCTTCACTTCAGTTATACTGATTATAAACCCACCTTAGTCCAATTTGAAAATGGGTTGATTCTCAGATTTTGAGATTGAAAAATTTATTGCTGAACTGTAGAGTTTATTACGCTTGAAGGAGCCTTCAGTGTTGTTGCGGTGCAGGGAGATTGACGTTGAGCTTATTGAGTCTATTCTAGAGGAAGCAAAAGAACAATATGCTGAGAAAGCCAATGATTGCGCCCCTATGATTACCTTAGACAATCGTGTATATCTCTTACCACCACCAAGTAGCGAAGAATCCAATGGTCCTTCTTGGTAATTATCACGATATCTATTTGTAAATTCCTCTGAGTTGTGCTACTGATTCAGTTGCCAGATCTAAGCCAGTGTAGTTTAATCAGAAACTCTCTCTCATTGTGCTCTGCCACATCCGTGCTCCATTTTCTATTTTCCTTCTCTATCTATTCATCTTTTCATATGCTAGTTTTCATGTTACGCATGATATTTTAAGTGGTTTCTAATTGTTGTTTCCTTGCAAAAAAGTGCTGGAGGGGTAATTTTGGCTTCACAAGATGGCAAGATTGTCTGTGATAACACTCTGGATGCTCGACTTGATGTTGTTTTCAGGCAGAAAACTCCCTGAGGTGTGTATCTTTATAATTGAGACATAATTTTGCCACTTCTTAGCACTCAAATCAGACATGATGTTTATGAAGGGGGGAAAAAAATAAACACTGTTGTATGCCATAAATTATCTGTTACTTATGTGGCAAAACAAATGGGAGCGGAGGTGAGAGAGGCAAAGGACTGGCAATTATGGACTTGTGCTCAAGCATGGAAGAAATTTATTATGGTAACCAGCAATCACTAGGTGTTAAGAAGTTACACTTGTGTGTCAAGAAAATTTCTTACAAGCGTAAATACTCAACTTGCTTTTGGGGGTAACCCTTCCCTTCGCGCCTTCCTACCCGAGAATGCAAGAGGAAATAGGACTTTGACCGCTCCGTGGGCCCGCTCTTCTCCATTCCGAAAGAGGGGATTCGTGCAATGCCCAAGGGTAGTGGGAGGGGTAGGGGCGAAGCAGAAGTACGCTGCAACTTCTTTGTGTGTTAAGTCAGTCAAGGGAGTCTTCTTTTTTGTTTTAAAAGTAAAAATTTATATTTTTGGAATAATATTTTTAAAACTTTTTTTTACTTATGTTTTAAATCAAGTTTTGGAAGTGAAATTGGAGCATTTGTTCCAAATATTGAACACAACCTTTTCGCCGTGCTCAATTTCAAAGAAAATATTTTAAAAACAATTTTTGAAATAAAATTTGAGATTAATGATTATGCTTTTAGAAATAAATATAAAATATCTTAAAAACACATTTCTAAAATAATATAATCCCATAATTTTATATTCTAAATTATTATTATTAAGTATGTTAAAAGAATAATATTTATTTTATAAAATTATCTTTAAAATATTATATTTTAAAAATATACTTTAATTTTAAAAATATTTAGATTTGAGATCGAAAAGAACACCCTAGTTCTTGCAAGCTTAAATGCTCAACTTGCTTTTGGAGGTAGGTTGGGGGAGAAGTACAAGGACGCTACAAATTAGTGGCTGAGAGGGTGGGATGAAAGTCTTTCCTCAGAAAGTAGTAGGCTTCGGTGAAACTTGCATCGCTTATATTGATGTTTGGCTTCTCTACCACTTTCTCACAGAGCCCAAGTTCTTGATGACTGTATTTTAACATTGGAGTCTTAATCTATTTAAACTGATTGATGCAGTGATTTTAACTACAGTGTATTGTCAAGAACTCCTTTCTACTGTTTAATTTTCATTTGGATTATGGGTGTGTTTGAAGACATTATATGGATTTATTTCTGTTGTTCTGCTTGTATCTGTCTATTACAACAAAGAACCACCAGAGGAAACTATGAACAAGAAAGTGAAAAGCACTATATTTCTCTGTTGTCATTACTGAATCTGAATGTTCACATTTGACTCCTTTAAATGCCCATTTCATAATTTCACATCTATGCAGATTCGGAAGCTCCTACTTCGTAAGGCCAGTTCTTGATCAATATGGTTTTCTCTGATCCTTGAACATGCTGGATGGATCTCTTATTTTGGATGGTTTCAAGCATTTCTTCACCCAGTTTGTTAGATGATGAAATAAGCGTGCTGTTTCAACTTACTCTGATATAAGTTGAGAGCATTGTGTGTGTATGTGTAACAACAGGATAAGTAATAATTTAGATGAATAGATCCTCCAATGGATGAAACACTGGCCTTTAACATCCAACTGGAATGTTGTATGGTTCAGAAGGATAAGGTCATGGTGTATTACTACGGTTCCTTCTAACCTCAACCTTCTGTAGATGTTCAACTTGTATGCTGATTCTACAGCTTTCTTCCTATGGAGTTTGGCGTGGGAATGTGGGAAAATGTGAAAATTTGTGAACAACAGGGTCTTTCATGTATATCAGGATTTCTTCTTCTTTTTTTCTTTTTGGTTACAAAAATGCTGGGAAGGGGAGGTACCTCCAGCACCGGCGGGCAGGGCGCCAATGCCATGGACCGGGGATACAGCCAGATGTTACCCCGAACTGGGCCAGTCCAAAGCCAACCCAAAGGATCATCAAGAGGGCTACTCGTAAAGCCCCTGGGCGGTGGAGGGATGCCCACCAAGCGGGATTTTAGTTGCTTCGGGGGATTCGAACTCTCGTCCATGGGTGAAGCTAGAATTTTCCTCCGGATCCTTGACCACTTGTACCAACCCGAGTTGGCTATATCAGGATTTCTGCTGCGTCCTTTCTGCAACAAAAATAAATGTACTTTGGGCTTTTTGGTTATAAAACTCTCAAATCCTATCATCAACTATGCATGTGGAAACAGAGCCGTCATGTCCTGTTCACATCCACTTCTATACAGCCTGATAGGCCTTGATGTATTTCTTATTATTTTTGCATAGGTACTTCAATCCATTTTACTTTCCCATTTTTTGATTGGTTTGCACTTTTGGAAAAATACAGTGAACCAATTATGATTTGATTGAATTCACAATCTTTCTAATTTGCTGCATGACAACCTCAAACTCTGTCCTTGTCACATAAACTTTTTATCTTATATAAGTCATATATGGAAAAAAAAATCAAAATTTTTCTCTTTAAATTTAAAAAATTTAAAAATTTAACAAATCTGGCACCTGCCTATTTAAGGGCCCGTTTGGATAAACATTTTTCACAAAAAATGGTTTTTATTTAAAAAACACTTCAGAAATAATTGTGTAAAAATTCTAAAAGAAGAGTTTGAATACTAAAAAATTCCTCATATACTCTGTTTTTTTTTTTGAAAAAATGTTTCAAATGCCGGACCGAATAATTGTTATCGATTAAAAATACGAAATGGAAAAAGAAAAAATAAAAACAAAAAATATAATAGGTCTTTTAACAATTTTTGAATTTTATTTAAAAATTTTAAAAATATGTGATATTACTATTTATGAAATTTTAGTATATTTAATATTTTATTAAAAATATTCTACTAAATTTTTTTTATAATTTTGAATTGGATTTTTGAGATTTTTACCAATCATTGTTTGGAAGAAAGAATTATTAAAATTCTTCAAACTCTATACTTCAATCAAACTTCTTTATCCCAATTTCTGTATAAGATATGGCAAAGCAACGAGTAGCTCCCACGCGCCGCCGCTCGCCCGCGACGTTGACCCGGAACTTGCATTTCTCATGACGTAAAGAACGCGCGATGGTCGTAGGCGCGTGCCACTCGGTATTACGAATATCCGCTTCGGTCCGTCGCGCAAGTCTCGACCGAGACGAAAGATACGAGTTGGAAGCAGAATTATTCGGATATTTGGAATTTGGATGCGTAGCCATAAAGTCAAATGCATGTCCCACTATCACTCAGTTTCTTAACCATCATTTTGTGAGTTCTCCCATTTCCTTCTCCCTTCCCAGCCCTAATTGTTGCTCTCTTAATTTCTCTGCAAATCCCTCTCTATGACAGCTGGGACTGGCTTATTGTTTTTTTAAGTACACGAATCGGGATCGATCCAATTCCGCTGGCCCCAGGCTCCAGTCTGTTCAGGTAATGCGGTTTGCGTCAACGGTGGTTTTTGTTTTTATTATTCTAAACAGCTTATTTATTTGCTGGTTTTCCAACTTCTTCCTGCTGAAAACAACGTGCCGGTTGTTATGGATGTTTCATTATTATTATTATTATTAAATTCTTGCCTTCCTTTTGCTTTTCCTTTTGAACCCTTGCCTATTTCTCCTCTCCAATCCCCTTCTTATAAAATTGCAAGCAAAAAACTAGGAAAATTTCGGCTGTCATCTACGCGTTTATACGGTGGATAAGGCTGTATTTGGAGGACCTAGTCGTTTATTCCGTCTGCCGGTAAGCCAAGTTTATCTGATCGGAATTAGGGTTGGAATTCATTTACTGTCTGCAGATTTGGCGCTGTGATTATGTTCCCTTTGTTTGGTTGAATTAATTGCTTTTGATCACTTATTTGATTCGCGGTGTACTTGCGGGATTTAATGAGAATTGCATGGATACGCTGATTAGATGGTTCTACTTTGATTACTGAAATTTGTGGTTAGGGTTTTTCGAGGATGTGTCTGTCGGTTTCTATGTAGATGCCTATAAGGCTCCTTCTTGGGAAATGTTCTTCCTTTTTCTTGTTTTAATTTGAAGGGCAAGTATCTTGGTTCTTAATGTGCTTGCTATTAGTTGAGTATGAATTAAAGTTTTTAGAGACGATAATGAGATATTGAAGAAGGATGGTTTTGGGGTTGTTGAGTTATGTGAAATCATTGTGGAACAGAAATTTTTTTTTTTTTTTTTTTTTTTTTTGAGCTCTTTTCTTATACGAATTCCTCTTTTCTCTGCAGCAGAGATTGCTCCAACCTTCACACCTAACCACAGGTTGGTAGATGATGTTATTGCGGCTACATTACTGACATTTAACTGCATTGATTTGTATGGTGCTATCTCAGCTAAATAATAAGTCTCAAACTTCTGGCTTTACAGGTGAGCATCTCTGGGCGGTATCTGTTGAGCTAATTGGGTTGCCTGATATGGTGTGGGCCATGGAGTTATTTAAATCATGACTGATGATTCAAGAAGGTTATTAGATGTGTTATCTGATACCCTGAGTTGGGTACCAATTGTCTTCTGATGTACATTTGAATGAGGATGGCCTTGAGTTTCAAAACAGATCCTGTTGTTTTTGCTACTACTTGTGATTTTTGATTCTTATGCCACAGCAGAAACTGAAAGCCTGCCAAAGAGAAGAACTGCTCCACTTAGGAATGCAGAGGGCACAATTATAGATGGTGCAGGAACTGTGGATGTCTTTGGATCTGATGGAACTTTGAATGGACAGGGTGAAAGGAAGATTGGAAATGGCAGAGTCTCTGTGTCCACAGTTGCATTTTTCACATTGGCCATGGCTGCTGCTACTGGTTTGGGTGCAGTACCATTCTTCTTTGTGGAACTTGATCCCCAGTGGGCTGGTATATGTAATGGGATGGCTGCCGGGGTGATGTTGGCAGCAAGCTTTGACCTCATTCAAGAAGGGCAAGAGTATGGCAGTGGCAATTGGGTTGTGTTGGGATTTTGTCAGGTGGAATTTTCATATGGCTTTGTAAGAAGGTGAAATCTTCAATTTGTTTTCTGTTTCCCTAATATTGCATTGCGCTAACTTTTATGTATGCAATAATGTCAGTCTGTTGCTGGTCCGTAAACAAGTTTATCTCACCTTTTTATTGTTAGCAATTATGCTGCTGTTGCCGCCCTCTTCTCCATTATTTTATGTCTGTGAATAATGATGACCATGATGACAGCACTTACTTCTGAAAAGCATGGAACATTTTGATGCAACAGTTGCTTTAAGCTTCCAGTAAGCATTCTTTTTGAAAGGTCTGATGCAAAAGGAGGAAAGTCCAAATTAAGATGGTTGTGCTGACGAATGCTATACACATTCATTTCTATATATGTCCAATTATTCACATTTCGTTGCCTCTTTATTTTACACCCTGGAAATTTACAGCATTGTGAACTGCCAAAAGAAGTCTCCCCACATAAAAAAAAAAAAAGGGAACAAAAAGAGTAGAAAAACCAACAGAGCATCTGGTTGTGGAAATCTTCATTTACTATGAAATAATACTTTCCCTTCACAGATTTTAAAGTTTCAAAAAATATATAAATATCTACCTATTATGCTTAAGAAGAATGTAAATCCTTTTTACTAACTCAGATGGAAATTTCTCTTCTCTGTACATCATTTAAAATAATTTATATTACTACTTAAGCATGTGTGCAAGGTATATTCATTTGTGTGATGCATCTTACTTTATTATGGTAATATGTAAATTTATGTTTTTGAGTCCTTTAATCATTCTCTTACTGCTTGCTATAAGTGATCTCTACTGTTTATCTATTACTGTTTTCACGTATTTGATAGAGGTTTCTTGCTATACATATTAGATTTTAGATAATAACTTGTCAACTTTCTTCCTGGGCACATCTGTCTTTTATCTCTTTTGTGAAATATCAGAAGTTGTCAGATTTCTGTATGTACATCTCTGTCATTCCTTGGATTTTGAATAATCATTTTCTTGGAGGTTCACTTTGTGGAATCTCTGTAGTTTTTTATTGTAATAAGAACAGTATCACAGTGAAGTGAATAAGGGCTTTAATAACTCAACTTCCATGATCTCACTACCATAAATACCAGAAATGAAGCACTAGAACTCTTGATACCAGCGCCTCAGTGAAAGCTACCAATGTATATATAAAACAGGCACTTTTCTATACATAATAGCTAGAAAACATACACTCATGTGAAATATGATTTTCTGCTGACATTATGAAATAGAATATATTCTTTTGTCTCAAGAAGGTGAAAACTGAGGTGTCCAAAATGATCCCTGAAATTTACTTAATGCTAGCTTTTCAATGAAATTGCTGTAAGAGGTACCTTAGAGTCCGGAATGCAGTCAGTATAGACTATTCTACACATCTGCTTACTGTATGCTTAATCTGGTGTTTTGCTGGCTGACTTGTTTTTGGCCTGTGTTATTGACTTGCATTATTGATTTTGATGTCCAGTTTCTGGAGCAATATGGTGAAGTAAGTATGTTGGACATTAAAGGAGCAGATGCAGCTAAAGTCATTCTTGTTGTGGGAATAATGACCCTTCATTCCTTTGGGGAGGGTTCTGGTGTTGGGGTGTCCTTTGCTGGCTCAAAAGGTTTATCTCAGGGCCTTTTGGTTACTTTAGCTATTGCTGTTCATAACATACCGGAGGGGTTAGCAGTTAGTATGGTCCTTGCATCAAGGGGGGTTTCTCCAAACAATGCTATGTTGTGGAGTGTAATTACATCATTGCCCCAGGTAATATTTTGTATTTTTGAGATCTTTAGTGACACCCCTCTTCCCCCCCCACCCCCCCCCCCCCCCCAAAAAAAAAGGACAAATATGTTGGCCTGCATTGTGCTTTATGCACAAGCCTTTATGGCTCTTTTTGGGAAATGACAATTTTATTCTGTGTTTGATTCTGGTGCTTGCATCATTTACTCGATCAAAGTCCTCAAAGAAACTACTAACTAGCATGGATATCTTTAAGGAAGAGCATGTTTAGCTGAGCCATTAACACTCCATGTTCCCACTGTATCCATGTCCTGAATCTTTTTGAAGTTGCCATGTTGGTGAGTGCAGGACCTTGTTGTGTCAGATACTGTGTCTCTGTCGATGCTTCATAATCTATGACATTTCAATTGTATTCTTTATTCTTTGAACAGGGTTAACATAAATAGCTTCTTTTCTCTTGGAAAAACAAAAAGAAAGAGGATCCCTTCTTTTTGGATGGGAACAGGTACTTTGGGAATTTTGCGTCCATCATGGAGCTGCAAGATGTTAAGCGATTGGAATCATATATTGAAAGATACAATATAAGTATATAAAATGCATAGGAGTAACATATTAGATATTCTGAACTTTTCCCTTCCATATATATATATATTTTTAATAGAATTAGTCAAGTGATATGTTAGCACCTTATCGTTTCTACAGATGTTGATGACCATACATGATTATGTTGAAAAGTCCTTCACTCAGAATCTTCCTCGTTGATGAATCTAGCATATTATGACCACGATAGATTACTAGGATAATGTTGTTTGCTTCCATCATTAGTAGAAGTAAAATATTTGCCAAGCTTTTAGTCAATGTTCAGTAATTCAAAGTTTACCAACATTTAAATCAATGTTAAGCAGTTCAAAGTTGAAATAATACTTATTTGCTGTTCTCATCCTTGCTGCTGCAGCCCATTGTAGCCGTTCCTTCATTTATGTGTGCAGATGCATTTAAAACATTCCTTCCATTTTGTACTGGCTTTGCTGCTGGGTGTATGATTTGGATGGTCATTGCGGAGGTTCTTCCTGATGGATTCAAGGTAACATGCCTTATTTAATCCAGTTGAATATTTGATCTCTAAAATTTTGGTTGAGAGATTCCTTTGGTTTTCAGTTACATATAAGCTAACATTATTTTAAAGAAATAGTTAAGTTAGGAGAAAGTTGTGCTGAATGGTCTTCTGATTAAAGTGGATGTTTTTGTTCATGTTATCCCCGGGGATTATTGAGTTCTAAACTTTAGCAAAATGAAATTTAGCTGTAAAATGAGAAAAGTGGAATCTAGCAAGAGATGTGATATTATAATTCAGAATGGTTTTTGGCGAGGGATTGCTTTATTACGTTCAAATTGATAGAAACATATTCAATGTATCTGAGAGATGAGAAAGCTCAAGGATAGAGTACTTAGGCATTGGAAAAAGAGCTTGATTTGAGCTAGCAAAAGTTAATTTACAATCGAATTGTCTCAACAAGCCAGGGTTTGAAAATAAAATACAAAACTTGCATTTTTACTAATTTTGAGGGATTTACCAATGGGAAGGAGTTTTTAAATCACTTTTTTCATTGTGTTTCATTATGATCAAGTACTGAAGGAAGTAGGGATCAGAAGGGTATTGCCTGTAGAACGTGAAGCAAAAAATGAAACTGAGGAATTTGAGTTCGAGTCACTCAATTGACACATTCTAAGGCATGATTGAGTTGAAAGTGAATGTGTATATGGATGAGTAACATTTTATTTGAAGATAGAATTGAAGATGAAACACAATGTTAGATGGAAGGACTTTAACATGACTGTGTAAGAAACAAACTTGCAGTTGGGAGCAAGTGATTGAAATTTGGTGCCATGATGATGAGATGAATAGAAAAAATATGTTATTGTTGATTCTGATCATTGAGAGAACAGATCTTTGTGGCATCTAATTAGTACTGCAACTTGGGCAACTTAAATTAAAATCTATGACTGGTCTGGCCCAACCCAACCCAACTCAAATTGCTCTCTTTAAGCCAATTCAGCAAATTTATATGGCTTGGGTTGAGCAACTTGGTTTATGTCTGGCCACGTTGAAAGTTAACTTGGCTTGCCCAGAATGCAGCCCTACATCTAATGATGAAAAAATAGATCATATCCAGGTTTCTCCCTGCTGAAGTAAGAACCTTATTTGTTGTCCAATTTATCCAAAACTCAGTTTCATATATTTTTTTTGATATTTTTTTGGGTTCTATAGGAGGCCTCTCCATCTCATGTTGCATCAGCAGCAACACTTTCAGTTGCCTTCATGGAAGCTCTTGGCACTTTGTTCCAAAATTTCAGCCGAAGTTATGAGTAAGTACCTCGCAATACAAATTCATTTATTATAAATTGTGACGAGCAACTATTGTCTGAATGTACTTTGGGAAAAAAAAGAAATTACAGTTCTAATACATCCTTGACTATGTCATATGATGAATTGCTTGCCTTGTTACAGTGGTTAGTGTGCCAGTGTCTTGCCTCCATGAAATTGGCAATACTAATTATTTTTTTGATACAATCTTAATTTTAATCTTTTGTATTTTTCCTTCCCTGTTTTTTTTGTTTGGGGGGGGGGGGGGGGGGGTTGTGGGTGTTGATGGTGGGGGTTATAAAATGCCCATGAAGATAATGAGGAAACAAAATCTATTGCCTCTGATTGTGGGTCAGTGAGCTCACTGGAAATTTCTTCTTTATCTGTAGAAAAAATGAGCAAGCTTAATTGTTTTTGTAAATGCTTGAGATGGTGTCCTCCCCTTTCCCTGCCACACAATCTTTGTATATAATTGATATAGCTGTAGGAGGCTAAATAGGCAGCTAAGATTTTCATCAGAAAAGCATAATCCTCCCAGTAGTGGGAGGAAAAGCTCTCTGCCCAACTGCTGGGCTGCTTACCTGCTGACTTTGTGTATTTTTTGTAGTTTCAATGTCATTATTCAGAGGTGGCAGGGATTAATTTCTCTCTTACACAATGCAAGCATGTGGAAGTTATTGGACATCTCAATTTAACTAGATTTTGAATTGTTTTTATTCAACTGGAGTTTGATTGTTTTGCAATGCAGTTCAGAGGATGTTTCTGGTTTTGTTGTGTCGCTACTTTTTGGCCTTGGGCCACTACTTGGTGGCATGGTTCTCGTCGCATTTACGCTTGCTTTCCGCCTTCAGCATGCCCTTCTAACTGGTGTGGCTTCTGGCATTGCCTTTGTTCTAGGGGCCTGGCGACCCTGCAGCTGCTCCTCTCTTCAAAAATGGGTTTCTTCCCCCTCCTGCTGCTTTTTGCACTGGGTTCTTTATTTGCCCACATTTCAACTAGAAGTGCTCTGAAGCTCATAAATAAGAAAAGAACTTCAGCTGATACCTTATCTGCTATAACTGGATTCTCTGTAAGCGCCCTTACTTTTCAATCTGTTTTGTCTTGTGTGGCTGTTGCTCTTCATGCTGTAGCAGAGGGGCTTGCATTAGGAGTGGCTGCACCTAAAGCCTATGGGCTTGGACGGCATATGGTTCTCCCAGTCTCTCTTCATGGTCTTCCTCGGGGTGCTGCTGTGGCAAGCTGCATCTTTGGGGCCACAGATAGCTGGTATGGATCTCTTGCAGCTGCTTTACTTATCGGATCCGTGGGCCCCACATCTGCAATAGGAGCTATACTTGCGGGAATTGACTACAGTGGTCTGGACCATTTGATGGTACTTGCATGTGGAGGATTAATCCCATGTTTTGGAAGCTTAGTTAGGAGAGCAATGAAGTTGGAAGCACGGAAGGCCAGCTTTGGCCTCGTGATGGGCATGGTCTTTGCTACCGTGTGCCTCACGTGTACTAAATTGGTTTGCTTGCACACTCCTTACTGCAACTCTGCTCCAGAGGCTGTGAGATGATGGTACGGAAGTTCATTTTAGGCTCCCTCATCAAAGAGATATAGTTGGAAATTGGAAGTTGAACACAGGTATAGTTCCTATCCATGGAGGAGAAAGCAAGATAGAAATGATTTAGGGTATGCAGAGATGGACAAGATATAATTTTGTTTTGGCATTAATATTGTTGTGAAGAGAACATGCCGGCTGGCTTCTTACTTGTTTATTGCTGATATCCTCTGGCTTGAATGGTAAGAGGCTTAGAATTGTGGGCAGAGTGTATATTATTTTACTGGAACATCAGACGTTTGATCTGTTAAATCTGTTATTTAAAGAACAACTCAAATAGAATCAATTGTTTTGCTAGCATAATAACTTTCTATGATCATGTCAAAAGAATTTTCCCGAGGATCAGAACCAAAAACAAATAGAATGTAATAGAAAGGGTTCATTTCAAATTATTAAGAATCTTTCAATGCAATGTGGTCAAGCGATGCTTCTCGAAACTTACTTCAGTGCAGTCAAATTTCTAGTAAATGTCGTGAACGTCTGAGAAAAATGACAGAGCATCTACGCTAAGTCCTCTATAGATGAACTATTATAAGTCTAGAGACATGGATTTCCTGCATGGCTGCCATTCTTGGTCACGACAAGTTTGCTGGGTCGTTTTAGTATCACAAAATTGGACTCTAAAGAAGTCTAATTCAATTTTTTTCAACTTTTTACAAAATTTAAAACCTCGAGATGAAAAAATGGGGCTTGTTAAGCTAAAAATGAAAGCTTTGGAAGACTTAGATTTTTTAAACTCTCACACACTCAGTTAATTGACACAATCAAGATTAGGTTCCTTAACCATACAGATATGACTCAGCAAAGTAACCTAACCTGAAGGAAAATCAGGCAATCATCCAACTGGTTGATGGGTTATGAGGGAAGCCATCAAGTCAACTTGATTGCTTCAGTCATTTTATTCAAACAAAAACACATTTAAGCGCTTTTATTTTTAAATTGGGTAATTAATTTCTTAAATTTAAAATTGATTTAAAATATATTTATTATTTTTATTTTTGGTTACATAAAGAGTTGAAACCCAAACATAAAAACTAACAAACTAGGAGATGAGTCTCCGCGTATATCAAGCCTAAAAAAACTCTTATATATAGGAAAGAAAACACTAACTCTTTTAAACTTGGATCCACTGAAAAATTAGTTTTAACAAGGAAATCAGTACAGGAATAGGCACGAGTTCCCACTATTTTTTTAAAAATATATATTTAAATTTGAAGTAAAATTTCAGTATCCAATTTCCAAATTTTGATTTTCATCAAATTGTGATGTGTCTATTTTTGGTTGTCTGGTTTTCTCGGCTTGTCTTGGGATTTACTTTTTCAAAATTTAGAAGGCTGAACAGCAAAATTCCTGAACTTCTATACTTTTTATTGTGACATTGCAAGCTAAAAAATAAAAAGGTAAATCTTAAAAGAATCAAACAGTTAACTTTAAGAATCCGCCAAACATAGGAGTCGATCAATCACCAAATCACATAGTCATATTGAGGATCAACCGCGATCCTTCGGCTCATGAGCTACCAAACAAGGTTTATTATTACATCAGAGATAACAACAAACTTACTTCTCAAGCATAAATCCTTCCAAGTTGCTTTCAACTTTCAAAAGTTGCTCAACATGGCCACGATTTCTCGGCCCCGTTCGCATTAGCCAACCTTCTTATCTTCGCCGACATCAGCCACCGATATCACCTGCTTCGCCTCCCCCACGCTCTGCGACCCCGTCAGTCTTGCTAGCATCACGAAAGTCATTCCTCCAAGCACGTTATTCAGACACCTCAGCACCACCACCGAGCTCTTGAACACCACCGGTGGCAAAACCCTCTCCAGCATAAACTCTATCCCGTTTAGAGTCTGGTATCGGAAATTACTGCTCACGCCCATGTGAATCGCCCACGTAGCCGCATTCAAGAGTGTTGGCGGCGGCTTGTTTGGCGTCTCGAAGCTAGGGTCCATCTTCTTCCTCATCTTTATTAAACTGTTCGAGATCGCCGTCCCCACCAGCCCCGCCGCAAAGCCCACGGCGGCGAACAGAACACCCTTGTACACAAAAGTTCCAAACCGATGGAACAGAGTGTACGATCCAGATTCAAACATGTGGCTTGTGGGGCAATTGACGAAGATTGAAGGGAGGGTGGGGGTTGAAGCGGAAAGTGTTGGGGCAAGTAAATACATTAGGACGAAATTGACAATGCAGCCAACGACGAGAGTGGAGAAGACGAAGTCAAGCTCGTTAAGGCCGAAATTAGGGCGAGACGCCATGTCGCCAAGGACGCAAGCGCTCACGCCGACCAATTCCTCCATTAGAACCTTGAACGGGAACTGGGGATCAGCGGCGACTCTCGATCTCCACCCATTGAGAAAAGCTCCGACGGGTCCGACCCAGGATGATGACGATGACGACATGCCACCGTCAGAGCTGTCATCTCCTCTCCCTCCTCCGCCGCGCCGCCACGGCTCCCGATCCCGTTGCCAGTGCTGCCGCCCCCTCCTGCGACGGCGGAGCTTGAAAAATGGACCTTTTGGAGCTGCGGGTTAGGGAGAATGAGATTAGCGCGAAGAGGTGAAGGCGATGAATGGTGAGGGGAAGGATACGAGGGGGGACGCTGATTGACAGGAAAGGCGGCGATTTATGATGAGGTGATTGTACTGCCTCATGAGAGGTAAGTTACGCAGCCTCGCAGCAGTGGCCATGTTTTCCGGGTAGAAAGAGCTATCAGCTTCACGATTGATTTGATCCTGATGTTATTGAAACCCAGAAGGGCTTTGGCGACGGTAAAACGGCAGGAGAGTGAAGAAAGAATCGGGATCGGGAAGCTTAGCACGATCAGAGATGCCTTTTTCTCACAGTTGATAAACAGTCTGCAGGTTGTTGAAAGAGTGCAAAAGGAGGGGAGATCCAAGCAATCGAACAGATAAAGAAACCCAAAAGCAAAAGAAACCCTAGTAGTGGCGGCGAGAGTGACAGGAGCAGAGGAGTAAGCCGGCACCTCCACGTCTGGGTATGGAGCAGGGTCTATGCTACGTATGCTTGAAAATGAATAATATGATTATAATTATTATTATAATTATAATTACTTGTTAATTATTTTTTAATACAGCGGAATATATTAGTTAGTGGGTGATGACGACGACCATTGGAGGCGCGTTTCGGGAACGAATCTCAATCCTATATGTTAATACTTTATAATAAGTAAATAATACAAACTGTTGGATTTATAATTAATTTAAATAATTTTTAAGAATAAAAATTAAAGACATATTTTAGTCTATTTATTAATTTATTTCGAGGGGCAATTAGTAAAAGAATTCTTTTTGTGTACCAAATCCATAATTTTCAAAAATCGTAGAAGATAAAAAAATTGAATCGAGGTGAACAAAATGTGACACGTGGAAAAACAACAATGTGTCCCTTCATCAACCTAATGCATGTGTGCCTCACTCTATCTGGCAATGAGAAATTATATATATATAGCATTTTTTTCTTATTGACATATAAACTGTTCAATTTTCTTTTTAAAAAGTAAAATTTTTATTAATAACGTTTTAATTTTTTTAACTTTCAACATAAATAAATTATAACTTCTTCAACAAAAACGGACAATAAAAATCTTGAAAAGAGGGATTTTACTTCCAAAAATTAGAATTTTTTTGGATTTTTTTAAGTTTTCAAACAAATTAAAGTAAATGAATTCTGTTTGCACAAATTAGAAACTACAAATCAGAAACTACAGATCAATAAATCAGTTGACAAGAAAAGATTAAAAAGAATATTCTAAATTTAGTCAACACAAAAAGCAACAAATACCTTGAAAATGTCACGTTAAACCCAATTCCACCAAACAAGGTTAAAAGCCCTTTTGGCTTTTCAAGTCCTTGTATGCCCTTCTAATTCTCTTTCTTTTACTTTTTTTTCCATTGGTTACTCAATAAATAGAAAATTTTAAAAATTATATTTAGTAGCCACTATAAAATAAAAATTTTCATTCTTTAGAGAATTCTGATTTCATCAAATAAAGTCATCTAAATTTCATCACTAGAACGATGGAATCCTAATTCTATTACATCATTTGTTTACACAATTATTATATTCTCTCTTTTTTTTTATGGAATGACAAAAAATATAAATATTTATAATATCACACATTAATAAATTATATTATATATATTACATAATATAATAAATTATATATTTACACACATAATATATTATATATATTTATATATGTGTATAATACAATACAATATGATAAATATATATAATAAATTTTAATATTTTAATATGAGAATATTAATTTAGAACTTTAATATGTTCTAATATATTAGAAGTTAATTTTTTTTTAATTTTAAAATTTTTCTAACCAGGGTATTTTTGTCTTTGAATAATTTTTTTAATTTTATTTTCTACTTCTATTCCCAGATACCAACTATAATAATGAAATAAGAATTTTTATCCTTTTAATATCAACCAAACGCACTCATAAGAATTTTCTTTTCATTCTATTATTATTTCCATTTCTACTCCAATCCTATTTCATCAAAAATAATTTATTACATTATACGCTACCTAAATTTTGTGGTACAAAATGAAAATGGTTTGCTTGCAAATATGTTTTATATGTTCTATTTTTATTTAAATTAACGTTAGATATGAAATAAAACAAATTTTTAATTTTTAAATAAATTTTATAAACACATAGACTATTTAACTTGATTTTTTTCAAAGAGGGAGCTACCTATATTGTCTTTTTTTTTAAGAGAATAATCTAGAAAATCATACTTCTAAAAAATACTCCAGCAAAAAGTAAGAAATTTTTACCACTCAGTTAAAAGATGCTGTATTTTTTTAAAAAATAATATTAAAAATATGGAATAATAAACATTCCAGATATAATTAAATTTTAACGTGATTACAAAGAATTAGACAATAACTCCGTTTATTTTCTTTTTGAGAAACTAATCGGGTAAACGTTAAAAAAATAATATATAAAAGTCAATTAAATATTGGTTAAATAGGTTAAATTTTAAATAATAAAAAAAAGAAAATTACCGTTACAACGAGCTAGAAAAATAGAAAAAGTGAAAGCTCTCTCATTTCTTATTATTTACTATTTAAAATCGATTTTGTTAAAATAAATCAGAACACAATAACATGTTCATGGGAAATGACATTGCAGTATTTATGCGCACCACAAATTAATTAATTTTTATCCTAAGTTTTAACACGTAAATATTTAATTTTTATCCTAAATACATTGTGGTAAACATTTAATTGGCTTTTGTATATCGTTTTCTAAACTATATTGAATTAATCTTTTAAAAAATAATAAACTAAATACAGTATTTTTGTAACGATATTTAGATATAATTATATTTGACATTTTTATTCTATATTTAAAATTTTTTTTTAAAATACAATCTTTTGATTGAGTGATGGAAGTTACTGTCAATGCGTTGAATTTAGATTAAATTAAATAAATTCAAATTTGATTGCCTATTTATATATTCAAATTTGATTTGAAATTTTATAAGATCTGTATTTGTTAATTTTTTAATATTATAAAATAAATTGATATGTTAAAAAGAAATATTTATGTGTCATTTTCTCAAAGACTTGGTTTATATAGAAATGTAGTTAAAGATATTTTCTTGTATTTCCTTTTCAAACATTTAGCTCAAATGAAAATGTAATCAATTTTTGTCCAATAATTAATTTTATCTGTTTCCTTTTTCCATATACATATACACTATAAATTCATATAATCAATTTTTACCAATAACTAACCCATCTATTTCTTTTTTATGTATTAAAATATTTATTAAATAAAATGCCTAATAAAAATCCTAATATATATGTGTATATATACATTTCATTTGGATATTTTATTTAATATATATATATATATATATATTTCTATTGGTGCCATGATGATGAGACTAGTAGAAAAAGTTTGTGATTGTTGATTCTGATGATTGAGAGAATAGATCTTTGTGGCATCTAATTAGTACTGCAGCTTAAATTAACCTGTATGCAACTTAAATTAACCTGTATGACTGGTCTGACCCGACCGATTCAATTTGCTCCTTTAAGATGGGTTGTGTTGAGCAATTTGGTTAGTGTCTGGCCACGTTCAAAGTTAATTTGCCTGCCCACATCCGCAATAGGAGCTATACTAGCAGGAATTGACTACAGTGGTCTGGACCATTTGATGGTATTTGCCTGTGGAGGATCAATCCATGTTTTGGAAGCTTAGTTAGGAGAGCGGTGAAGTTGGAAGCACAGAAGGCCAGCTTTGGCCTCGTGATGGGCATGGCTTTTGCTACCATCTGCCTAACATGTGTAAATTGGTTTGCTTGCACACACCTTACTGCAACTACGCACCAGAGGCTGTGAGAAGGTGGCACAGAAGTTTGTTTCAGACTCCCTCATCAAAGAGATATAGATGGAAATTGGAAGGTGAACACGGGGTATATTTCCTATCCATGGAGGAGAAAGCAAGATAGAAATGATTTAGGGTATGCAGAGAGGGGAAAGATGTAATTTTGTTTTGGCATAAAGATTGTTTGTAGGGAGAACATGCGGCTGGCTTTCACTTGTTTAGTGCTGATATCCTCTGGTTTGAATGGTGAGAGGCTTAGAATTGTGGACAGAGTGTATGTTATTTTCCTGGAGCATCAGAAGTTTGATCTGTTAAATCTGTTATTTAAAGAACAATTGGAATAGAATCAATTGTTTGCTAGTAAATGGAATATAATAGAAAGGGTTCGTTTCAAATTTATTAAGAGAGTGCCCGGAATCTCTTTGAAAGCAACGTTGTCAAGCGATGCTTCTCAAAACTGTCTGCTTCAGTGCACTCAAATTTCTAGTAAATGTCGTAAACGTCTGACAAAAATGACAAAGCATCTACGCTTAAGTCCTCTATAGATGACGAACTATTGAAAGTCCAGAGAGATGGATTCCCTGCATGGCTGCCATTCTTGGTCAGAACAAGTTTGCTGGGTCGTTTTGGTATCACAAAAATTGGACTTCAAAGAAGTCTAATTCAAGTTTTTTCAACTTTTTAGAAAATTAAAACCTCGAGATGAAAAACGGTGCTTGTTAAGCCAAAAATGAAGGCTTTGGAATTCTTGGATTTTAATTCTTTCACACTAAATTTAGCTTGTGTTAATAGCATTGAACAAGTTAAAACTCAAGAATCCTTATAAGCTTACAATCTATTCTATCAAATATTCCTTTAGCAAGTGTGGTAATCTAATTGACATAATCAAGATTAGGTTCCTTAACCATACAGATATGACTCGGCAAAGCAACCTAACCTGAAGCAAAATCATGCAATTATCCAACTGGATTATGGGCTGTGAAGGAAGCTATCAAGTCAACTTGATAGGTTCAGTCATTTTATTCAAACCAAAAACACAATTAAGCGCTTTTATTTTTAACTCGGGTAATTAATTTATTAAATTTAAAATTGATTAAAAATATATTTATTATTATTATTTTCGATTACATAAAGAGTCGAAATCCATACACAAAAGTTAACATCCTAGGAGATGAGACTCTGTATATTTCAAGTCTCAAAACAACTCTAAAATATAAGAAAGAAAACACTAATTCTTTTAAACTTGGATCCGCTGAAAAATTAGTTTTAACAAGGAAATCAATACAAGAATTGGTATGAATTTCCAATATTTTTTAAAAAATTAAATTTTAAGTAGAAGTTTCAGTATCCAATTTCCAAGTTTTGGTTTTTAGTAAATTGGGTTGTGTCCATTTGGTTGTCTGGTTTTCTAGGCTTGTCTTAGATTTACTTTTTCAAAATTAAGAAGACTGAATAGCATAATTCCTGACCTGTACATCTATACCTTTTTATCGTGGGAGAATTCTATGGTGCCCACCCCTCTCACAAGGGGTGGGCTCCTGTATTGTGAGGGAGCCCCATTACCGAGTCCCCTCTCACAGAAGGGGAGAGGGTACCAGTACCTCTTGATAATCAGAGTGTTTTTCTTATTTGCAATATCCAAGCTAAAAAATAAAAAGGTAAATATATATATATATATATATCAAACAGTTAACTTAAGAATCTGTGCCAAACATAGGAGTCGATCAATCACCAAACCAGATTGTCATATTGAGGAACAAATCCGATTCTTGAGCTCATGAACTACAGAACAAGGTTTCTTATTACATGTGAGATAAAAACATACTTCTGAAGCATAAATCCTTGCAATGAACAAAGTTGCTTTCAACTTACAAAAGTTATTCAATACGGCGACGATTTCTCGGGCCCGCTCGCATTAGCTAACCTTCTTCTCTTCGTCGTCATCAGCCACCGATGTCACCTGCTTCGCCTCCCCCACGCTCTGTGACCCCGTCAATCTCGCTAGTATCACGAAAGTCATTCCTCCAAGCACGTTATTCAGACACCTCAGCACCACCACCGAGCTCTTGAACACCACGGTGGCAAAACCCTCTCCAGCATAAACTCAATCCCGTTTAGAGTCTGGTACCGGAAGTTACTGCTCACACCCATGTGAATCGCCCACGTAGCCGCATTCAGGAGTGTTGGTGGTGGCTTGTTCGGCGTCTCGAAGCTAGGGTCCATCTTCTTCCTCATCTTTATTAAACTGTTCGAGATCGCCGTCCCCACCAGCCCCGCCGCAAAGCCCACGGCGGCAAACAGAACACCCTTGTACACAAAAGTTCCAAGTCGATGGAACAGAGTGTACGGTCCGGATTCAAACATGTGGCTTGTGGGGGCAATTGACGAAGATTGAAGGGAGGGTGGGGGTTGAAGCGGAGAGCGTTGGGGCTAGTAAGTACATTAGGACGAAATTGACAATGCAGCCGACGACGAGAGTGGAGAAGACGAAATCGAGCTCGTTGAGGCCGAAATTAGGGCGAGACGCCATGTCGCCAAGGACACAGGCGCTAACGCCGACCAATTCCTCCATTAGAACCTTGAACGGGAACTGGGGATCAGCGGCGACTCTCGATCTCCACCCGTTGAGAAAAGCTCCGACGGGTCCAACCCAGGATGATGACGACGACGACGACATGCCATCGTCAGAGCTTTCACCTCCTCCTCCTCGTCCGCCGCCGCCGCCGCCACGGCTCCCGATCCCGTTGCCAGTGCTGCTGCCTCCTCCTGCGACGGCGGAGCTTGAGAAATGGACCGTTTGGAGCTGTGAGTTAGGGAGGATAAGATCGGTGCGAAGAGGAGAAGGCGATGAATGGTGAGGGAAGGATACGATTGGGGTCGCTGATGAGAAGAAAGGCGGCGATTTCCGATGAGGTGATTGTACTGCCTTATGAGAGGGAAGTTACGCAGCCTCGCAGCAGTCGCCATGTTTTCCGGGTAGAAAGAACTATCAGCTTCACGATTGATTTGATCCTGATGTTAATGACACCAGAAGGCTTTGGCGACGGTAAAACGGAAGGAGAGTGAAGAAAGAATAGGGATCGGGAAGCTTAGCACGATCAGAGACGCCCTTTTTCTTATTGACGAAAAACAGCCTGCAGGTGGTTGAAAGAGTGCAAAATGAGGAAAAACCGAAGCAATCGAACAGAGAAACATACCCAAAAGCAAAAGCAACCTTAGTAGGGGCGGCGAGAGTGACTGGAACAGAGGAGGAAACCAGCACCTGCACGTGTGTGTGTGGAACAGGACCTATGCTACATATGCTTGAAAAATAGAATAATTATAATTATAATTATAATTACTTGCTAATTATTTTTTAATGCAAGGTAATATATTAATTAGTGGGTGATGGACGACGACCATTGGAGGTGCGTTTGGGGAACGAATCTCAATCCCACGTCTTAATACTTTGAAAAAAGTCAATAACACAAATTGTGTAAATTATTAAATTAATTTAAATAATATTTTAAGAAATAAAAATTGAAAGACATTATTTGAGTCCATTCAGTAATTTATTACGAGGGGCAATTAGTAAAAGAATTTTTTTATGTACCAAATCTGTAATTTTTAAAAATCGTAGAAGATACAAAAACTTGTATCGAGATGAACAGAAATGACACGTGGAACCTACGACTGGAACACCGCTCTGAAGAGGGCCCACCACTTTGACCGGCAAAACCCACGAGCGCTGCGACCTCTAACACGCCGAAGCATCACATTTCGAGAACGGTGATTTGACGGAATTTGTGTTTGATTTTAGTTTTTCTGCCCCAGAAATATCCTGAACTAAATAATCTTTCTCGTTTACCTCATTTTACATCAAGACCGTCCACATCATTAATTTATCGCTAAATATTATTAAATAATAAAAACTAATAATATTTAACAAGATTTTGCATATTTATAATTAATTATTAAAATATTTTAACATTTTATTTAATATTTCAATAAGTTATTTTATTTTTATTACAATTATAGAAATTTTTATTTAAAAATTTAATTTACTCATTTATAAATTATTTTTTTATGTACGATAAAATTTAATTTTTTAACACTATTATAAGATAAATATAAAATAAAAATAATTCAAATTTCAAATGACAGTATTTGAATAATTTTTATTAAATTCAAATTATTTAATTATATAGTTAACTTGTGCAATAACTAAATTACTTTTATAAAATTTAACTATCTTTAATTTAATATCAAAAATTATATATATTTAATAATATTATTATCAATTATAATATATTAGCTTAAATTATTTTTAAAAATTTTAATTATGCCCATTGTAATATTAAAAAAATAGTATTTAAGATTTGAAATTTCAGATACATTTATTATAATAAACTAATAGTGTTAGTATCAGATATAAATGATATATTGTATAATTTAAGAGCGTAAATAAGGCCCAAAAAATTGAGAGATAAAATAATTTTTTCTCTTTAAATTATTTAAAAAATAAAATTTCACACAATTAAAATATAAAAATAAATAAATCTTTCTATTTTGGCAGCAATTGAACAAGAACCGCACTCCCCTCCACACCTACCCACCCCACCAACCACCAACAATCAGCAACGCCCCCACACAAATCACGCCAAAGGGAGTTATATAAACATTTAAGTTGCATGTCCCATGCGCATCTTAAAGAAAGTTTGTTTGCGTGATTCGATTTTTCACATTTAATTTTCACCAAATATTTATGGTAATAAATGACACTACTAGGGAAAATTTATTTATTCCCTTGAGGGAATTGAATAAATTTAATCATGACAAAAAAAAACTAGTAATAAATATTATCTATTTCTATTAGAGATAAGATCGGAATAAATATATTTAAACTTTATATGATATATTAGACTAATTTGCATATTACATTCTTAAATTAAAACTTTTTGACACTTTACGTTCAAAAAATATAAATTTAACATTTTACACCTTAATTTTAACAATTTTTCACCTCAGCTGAAAATTCAACAATTGGGGCACTTAATCTTTAAAGAGTGTAATTAAAATTTAGTAATTTTTCTCTAAGTTTTTTTAGGGATACAATATGTAAATATTTTATTAATTCGCTGATTGTACCCTAATATTAAATCTTATAATTTTAAAAAATAATCTTTTCACTTGGATTTATAAAAAAGTAACAATTTAAAAATATTTTTTATAAAGAATTATTTTATTATTAATTAAAAATTCTTATTAGTAAGATATAAGATTTGTTTGTTTAAGGTTTTAACCAAGTTTAAGTATAGATACATCTTATTAAACTCTTCATAAAGAAATAATCATACCATGATTGACAACTTATAATTAATGGTAAAATGTACCCTATGATCATCTTAAATTTAAATAAAATAAATTTTGAAAAAATAAATTTAAATAAAGTGAGTCTGACTATTTGTTTATACAACTTATAATTAGTAGGTAAAATGCATCCTATGATCATCTTAAATTTAAATAAAATAAATTTTGATAAAAAAATTTAAATAAAGTGAGTTACTTATTTATTTATAGAGAGTTTAATAAGACGTATTTATACTTAAACTTGGTTAAAACCTTAAATAAACAAATCTTGTATCCTATTAGTAAGAATTTCAATTAATTATAAATTATTATTTTATATAAAATATTTTAAAATTGCTACTTTTTTATAAATTCTAGTAAAAAGACTCTCTTTTTAAAACTATAACATTTAATGTTGAGGTCCAATCTGCAAATTAACTAAATATTTGCATATTACACTCCTAAAAAAATTGGAGAGAAAATTACTATATTCCAATTATACCCTTTAAAAGTTAATAAAAAATTATTTTCTACTACCAGATTCTAAGTTAGGATGTAAAATTGTTAAAATTGGGGTGTAAAATACCAAATTTATATTTTAGGTTGTAAAGTGCCAAAAAACTTTAACTTAAGGATATATATATAAATTAGTCAAGAAATTAAAATAACTATGAATATAGATAAGATAAGAAAGTTTATATTCATCTTCTAAGTATCATACACTCGACACACATATAAACATTTTAGGTGCCGGCCCATATATACCTTTGTTTGCGTGATTCGATTTTTCACATTTTATTTTCACCATTTATGGTAATAAATGAAACTATTAGGGAAACTTAATTTTTAGAGGAATTGAATTAATTTAATTTTGAGAAGAAGGCACTCTTGACAAATATTATTAATAGATATTATTTATTTTGTTACAAATAAACATATTTAAAATTTATGAGATGTTATAACAACTATAAATAGAAATAAGAAAATTTATCCTAATCTGATAAATGTTTAAAAAATATACATGCATTATATGTATTTATTAATTCACTATAAAAAAATGTCAAATTTCTGATAAAAAATTACCGAATGACATAAAATCATCGAATTTTTGATGAAAATATTCGTTGAAAATTTTTTTGAAGGAAATATTTGCTGAAAAAAATTTTTGACACAATTTTCAATAGAATATTCTGTTTAAAAAAGTTTTTGGCGGAAAAATTCTATCAAAAATGTAAAAAATTGGTTGAAAATTATTAAAAAAAATAATCAAAAATAAATAAATATTTTATGATAGACATTTTTTGTCAAAAATTTTCGTCAGAATTTTCCATCAAAAAATTTCTGAGGACATTTCCAACAGATTTCCATTTGTAATTCTTTTCCAACGAAAAATTCTATCGAAAATTCTGCACATTCTAACATTTTTACAAACTTGTTGGGATTTGTAACTCTTTTTTGATAAAATTTTTCGTTAGAAATTTTTTGACGAAAAATTTTGTCAAAAATTCTGCACACTTGGCAATTTTGCAAACTTATTGGGATTTGAATTTCTTTTCCGACGGAAAATTTCAACAAAAATTCAAAAAATTCATTGAAAATTCAACTTTACCGACTTTTTTGGATTTATAACTTTTTTTTGACAGCTTTCCGTCAAAAAGCCATTAAAAATTTCTTTAAAAGCCAACGACTTCTCTTTCTTCTATCTCTCTATCTCTCTATATCTCTCTTTCACTCTCTCTCTCTCTCCCCCGCCCCAAAGAGATCACCACTTAGACGATCAAGCTAGGCTCTGACAGATCTCCTTGAGCTATCTCATCGTTGGAAAGAAGATAGTTCTTATTAGCACTCTTAGAGTCTTAATTCCCTCAGCAATCCCACATTTAGGTAATACTCATCATGTAATAGTAGAATATTCGTTTGATTTTGTTTTAAAGATCTTATATTGTTTTCTTTTTTCTTAAAAGTAGAGAGACAAGGAGGTCACTGGAAAAGTTATCGGAGGTGCTGCCGGAAGATTGAAAAATATAAATATAAAATGTTAAATAAAAATAAATTAAAAAAATTACCAGAAAGGTCACCAAAAACACTGCTGGAAATGTCATTGGAAGTGTTGCCAAAAACTCATCAGAAATGCTGTTAGAAAATAATTTATTATTAAATATAAAATATAAATAATTAAAAAATTAAAAATTAAATTTACAATAACTATAAAATAATATAAAATATAAAAAATAAAAAAATACTACAGGAAACGTCACCAGAAAAGTTGCCTGATATGTCGGCGAAAATCTGTTGGAAATTCCAACAGAAAATTTTCAACAGAATTTCCAACATAAATTACGGCCAAAAATTTTTTGACGGATTTTTCCATTGGAAATTGTTTAACATAGTGAATTTTTCGTCAAAAATTGTTTTTGACAACCTTTTTTTTATGGTACTTTTTTCGTTAGAAATTCTATCTTCTGATAGAAATTGATGTTTTTCCAACGAAAACCATCAGTTGGAAATGACCTTCTTTCTTGTAGTGATTTTTTGATTATTTTTCTTATTTCTCCTATATTTCTAATTAAATTTTCAATTTTAACCAACACTAACCCAACAACAATGTATCACTTCATCAACCTCATATATGTGTGCCTCATTCTTTTTGGCAATGAGAAATTAGTTACTTTCATTTTTGTATT